TGCCACAGTTAAAATTCCTTTAAGCAGCTTAGTGTAACCCTATTTATACTTGCTTATATTGGAAAAAGAAAGATCTTACTTATGATGAGCAAGCATAAGGAGAATACCCTTGGGTTAAAATTCAAATCACACTTCTTCCAACTTATTGCCTTATCAAGCTCTAATGATATCCCAAGGTAATTTGATTTTGCTTCTTACAGGAGATAAACTGATAAATATTCAGTAGGGTGAAGTAAAACACAGGGTGTGATGGTGCTGTGTGACAACCAGTGTTTTCTCTGAATCACTACAGACTCCTAACGAGTGGGTCACATTCCACCTTTTATCACAACCCAACAGGCTGATGCCTTGCTGCATGCAGAGATTACAACATTCCACAGCTTTGCTTGCTGCAGCTTCCACTTACTAGGAAGCCAGGTTTCCTCTAACACTGGTGTACTTTTACTGCAGGATTTGACAGGGACCATTCAGAGTGTTGATTACTGTAATTAGAGCCAAAGTCCCTAAAAGACTTCTTCGTGGCTGTCAAGGAAAGGGGCCCCATCTTGTGGACATTTCCTGGAGCAAATATAGTCTGGCTGTGAAGCTGTTAACCACGGTGCTGTTAATGCAGTGCTGAAAACAAGCTGTGATAAAACAAGCTGCAGCAGATCTCGCCTAAACTGGAGTTATGCCGTGACTGAGAAGTGCAAAAACCACCTCGTTTCCTTCTCTCAAGCCAAACCATCCTCCCGTTTCTGTAGGTATGAGGCCCCTTGCCTCAATACAGCTTTTAAAGAAAGACCTGAAGGACACTTTTACGTACTCTGTGCAAACTCCTTACCTGCTCACTGAAGAATGGGAATGAGAAAAAAGAAGGGTGAGAAGAGATGAGGTCAGGCCATCCACCACCAGTGAGATCAACTAACCAACCCAAGGAACAATTTCTCAGGCACCCCAGAGGCCATGACACATGTGGCCACATGCTGTGAGCAGCAGGAGAAGCTGGATGCCCAGAACAGCTGGAGACACCCTGTGCCAGCCCTGATGACCCATGTCTTGGTGCCTTTGGAGAAGAGTGCAAGCAGGCTTTCACATCTCTCCTATAAAATCTGTTTACACAACATGCAGCTGCATCCCACACACACTATCCCACACCCACGACACCTGGATCATAGGGACAAGCGTCACCTAAAAAGGCTCCCCACTGAATGCTTATTTTTAAGAAGATGAGTAGTATTTGGGAAAACAGACAGGAAAAAACTGTTGCACATGCAATGCATATTTCTATCTCACTTCAAACAGGTTTTAACACTAATAATTCAACCAGCATTTTTTACTTCAGGACAATCTACAGCAGACACTGTTTTCACAGCTCCCTCAAATTCCTATTTCCAAGAGCTTCATCATGCTTGTCCCTTGTCTCCTACAAAAATGGCATCATGTATGGCACTGCCTTCACAAAGCCTTCACACTTGAGAATTATTCTGAGGTTGTGTAGGCACAGGAGTGGTGCCAAGGGCCTGGAGCTCTCCTTGGCACACATGGAAACATTGTGGGACTGGGACCTCAATGTTTGGCAACACAAGATACAGCTGGTACAACCCTCTGGGGACAATGGTAAAAGACTTAACCTGTACAGAAACAGGCTTGGCATGTACTGAAAGCACCAGGTCAGGGCATCATGGGGATTTTGGGATCAAATGAGGTTGGAGCTTGAATGTGCCCTTGGAACTTATCTTGTCCAATCTCCCATGGGCCAGGACAAGACCACACAAAGTTTCACTCACCCTGAAGGTCTTGAAACTCTCCAAAGAGGGAGATTCTGTCACTTCTCTGGGCAAGTTGCCCCAGAGAAGTTGTGAAATGTCTCAGAGCTCCATGGTTCCCCTAATGGCTGTTGCCTCCTCACCTTCCCTGTGCCCTCCCGACACGATCTTCTCCTCTGCACCTGTGGAGGGTGAGGATGGACACAGCCCCCCAGCCCCCAGCCTAGCCCTGCTCCCGCTGAACTCCAGACTGAACAACCCCAACTCTCTCACCCTGGCTCCACAGGAAAGGTGCTCCAGCCCTTTTACCATCTTGGTGGCCCTAAGGTTGTTTTGGCCTATACCCTGATTCTGATGTCTTCCTTCATTGCTGAGAACCATGAAGGCAGCCAGTGGCTAGATCTAGTAAATTATTTATTTGTGTCAACACACTCCCAGTCACCACCTTCCCAGGGCAAGTCAGGAGTATTTCAGGACATGTGTGTCCTTTTTGCAGCAAATTAAGCCTGATTAGTCCTAGGACCATGACCTAGGCATGTCTGCATGCACCCATTTTTCAGTCATCTCAGGCACGTTCATCTCCTCCTTTGCCTTTGGAAAACATTCTGTTCCTAGTTTGTCTGGAAAAATTGTTTCATCCATTTTCTATGCTGTTCCTCAGAATTAAAAGCAAAAGCTTAAGTACTTAGTGTATCTAAAAGAGAACAAATCCAACAATCCCCTGCCTGACTGTGGACTGTCTAAATGCAAGTATTACATAAATTAATAATGTCTTCAGTCCTAACTCTTTGTCATGCCCAACAAGCCAGTAGACCAGGCTTATTTACTGGTACTGGAAGAATAAAAGAGTTTGAGTTCCAGCATTTTTTTGGATGGCAAATAGCAGCAAGTCACACTGATGATAAATGTATTGCACTGTACCTTACAGTGCACATTTTAATGTACAGCAGTGACCTTGGCTGTGTAGTTTTGTCAGTCCTTGAGTTCAAGAGATAACCACTTCTGTCATGGATTTCAAGATTTCCTATACAACTGAAAAGAAAAATTATGCTCACATACCTTAAAATGCCCTTATTTACACACACACAAAATTCCTTCTTTCTTCTTCCACCTGAAAACTCATTGACTACAAAGCCGAACCTCAGACCTGGGAAATAAGCAGCACTGATTCTCCTATTAGTTAAAGTTCATTGATATAAATATTTTCCATCTGAAGTGATCTCACAAATTAATTTTTAGCTCACAATTGCTCAGAGATGGCTGGCCATCTTCACCAGAGATGAAGGCAGCAAATAGTCTTAAGAGACAGTTCCCTGGCAAGACAATGCCACCAAGTCTGTGCTTTCACTGTTGTTTCACAGGGTTGTATTCCGAAAAGAGGCAAGATTCTCCAGGTTTCTTATGGCACAGTTGTGATATTTCTTGATACACCCACACAAAATGATTGCATATGGATCAGACTGTGTCTGGGTGTCTGCGTAATAGAAGGTGCAAGGAATAGATTGAAATATCAGCTCTTTAGCAAGCAATAGAGTGCTAAATGAACTCCTGCTCATGTCAGAAGGAGTAATTATCAAAAATCAGGACCTCACACACAGAAATCATGCCTTTCCTGTAATTAAACAGGACCAGCTACTGACATATTGAATAAGAACTCTAAAATATGCATTAATACAGCTGGGCATGCAATTGTGAGAGACTGAACACTGCTGGAACTAGCAATGGTAGCTAAACTTGTTCTTTTTTATATCTTTTTTTGTCTTTTTCTCTTTCTTCTCCTAACTCCCTCTTCTTGGAGATGTTTGAATAATTTAAAATTAGATGGGTTTGGAGTTTGATAAGTTGAATAGACAAGGTTAATACTTTGTGAGATGTTTTATGTTGATAGAATGCTGCTCTAAACCTTTTGCCAAAGTTCTCTGATTTTCTACAGTTTCCAGTGAAGTTTTTAGGGGTTTTTTTTTGGCTTCTTGGGACTATCTTGTTCGTATTTTCCCCATGCATCTAACTCAGTGTACACTAAAAAGTGTAAGCCCTTTTAAGAGGCTCATTGAGCAAGTATTGTTTAACATACTCGGTCTGTTGAGGTATGTGGACACCCAGCATCTAGTTACACTGATAAGGTAACAATGTGTGAAACTGCCAGACTGCCTGGTATCAAAGGGAAAGTCATATTAACGTGGCTAGCTAGCCTTAACTTATGGCAACATCAACAAGGTGACAGGGTGAGAAACTGACAGCTATAGAAAAATAAAAGGGTGATGGGCTCCTTAGAGAATCTCTGAGTAAAAACTAATTACAAAGTCATTACCAAGGCAATGAAATTCAAAAAACACACAAAGAGTGTACATGGGGATGCTTATTTTTTAAGCATTATAAATTATATCGTTTATAAATTATAGATTTATACTATATATTATATATAAATTTATAAATTATATATTATAAATTATAAAGTTCATTATGTTGTTGGGAGGATATAAGGGCGATAAAGGGGAAGAAATTGAGAGAGGAACAAGGATATAATGTGAAGTAAAAAATATAATTAGGATTGCATGAGCCCTGTGCCTGATCACCACAATTTCACCACAACATCAAACTCACTGTTTCTGCAGTGTTCATGTCTGGGTTACTTTCATAGGAGGGACTGTTTATGTTTTCCCTTGATGTTGATGAAGGAATATTAAAAGTACCCTTCTTAATATGGGAAGGGAATACCTGGAGGGTGTCACTTAACAACATCATGTCTTTCTATCTCCTTAGTATGGCCAAGTGTTTGTTTCATGCATAGGAAATTCTGCCCAGTAAGCTGAGAAAAATACTTTATAGATAATAAAAGAAAATGTCAACATGCAAACTCAGGTACATCTTTGTGAACACCTATGACCACCAACCATCATACCAAAATAAAGCCTGAAATTACTCAGGTAAAGTCATGATGAAGTCATTCTCACTAGCAAAGAAAAATAGATAAATACTATCATGACTATCAAGGTCATAATGTAAAATAATTAAGCAAATAAAAACCAAGGAAACTTCAACAAGCCTTTTAATGATTAATCATCCTTTAGTCTGACTCTTATTTCACAATCGTCCATATATATTGTCAAAAATAATTTAAAGCTATAAATTAAAACATTCCTATTTTAGTTTATGACAACTTTCAAAATTAGATATTTTTCCTTGACTGTTTTCTTCTCTCAAATTAAATCAATCACCGATCTTGAAGCCTAGCATTTCTTTCTGCTATTGTCAAACAAACATTTTTATCCAATCAATCATATCCCTTCTAGCTTCTTCAATATAAGGTTTATCCTCAGGTTTCATATCTTCTGGCTTCAGTTGTGCAAACCCATGAACTTGCCCAGGATAAACTTTAATTTTATATGGAACTTTACAATACTGCTTTAGCTTGTCCTCCAATAAGAAGATCTGTTAAAAGAAAAGCATTTTTTCCATTACATATGATTTTTTTATGTTTGCCAAATTTGCTCTTTCTCATAGAGAAAATGCAACTTTGGGCGTAAGATTGAAGCTTTTTTTAAGTATAGGTGTGTTTATAGGAGTCTAAGAACCTCAACAGTTGCTGGAAAGATAGTTTGGTAAATCTCGTTGCCATAAAGGAACAGGTGTGTTTCTCTTCATACTCTCAGGCTTGTAACCTACACTTGAAGCTCTGATCTTGAGAGAACATGTTCCATAACCCTTAGTGACCATCAATCCAAAACATTTTGATAGGCTTAGTAACAGACTTTAACAAAACATGGAGGGCTTTTTTTTTTTTCATTTTACTGTACAGCAAAAAGACATTGCTCTTGCACAGTTTTAGTGATTAGTATGCATACAAAGAACTAATGTGTTTATGTACCCATATACATTTGCTTTTATTTCCATTAAAAGTCAGAAAATAGAAGAATGAACACTTATTTTGCCCCACAAGCTTACCTCTACCCATTGTGCAGATGAGAAAGAGCATTGTAAATAATTTCATGGGATTTTTGTTGTTTTGGTTTTTATAAATATGGATCCCTGTTTTTCAGTACAGAAAACTATGTATTTGAGGGTTTGTTGGGTTTTTTTTAATGCAGAAATTTTTACTTATTCAATCTGCACAGCAATAAAGCTTCAAGACAAAAAGGTGTGGTTTCAATGTGTAACACATGACAGAAAAAATGCATTTGCCAAAATTGTGCCCCTGGGAAAAATACACGCTTGCCATAAAATGAGGACAGGGAGTGAAGGGTTTGTTTTCCTCTGCAGAGGAGACACATATGAGGTATAATTAACATGCTGACTTATGCAGTTAGAAGTAAATACTGAATGACTTCTGCATTCCTAGAGCACACTGCCAGTTCTCCAGTCAGACCCTACATGAAAAACAAGCTGTGCTAGAGGTGGTACGTCACCCTTGTCACTGAAGGAAAAGAATCTATGCACAGAAGAGGGCACCAGTTTCCTACCCATATTTTTCAGTCTCTCACATATGCTTACAGTAGGGGTTATATCAGAACCTAGATGGCAGCCAGGAGTCAAAACATTTGAGTCTACATGTTGTTGTTGTCTCAGCTAAAATTCATGCCCACTCTTTTGACACAGCTCATTTTGTCTTCTTGTAGCAAAAGCAGCCAGTGGTCTCCATCATCATAAAGTTCAATTACATTTTTTTTTTCCATTCAGTGTCCAAATTCAGTGATTTAGCTACCTGATTTCTCATCCACAGCAGTAGTATACAAGTGTTTGTGATGCTTGGTTCATACCAAGTTGGATATTCCTGCTCAACTTCACACTCTGCTTATCTAGCCACTCAGAGATTGATGGCTGTCCTTTACGGTATTTCTTACCTCAAAAAAGAAGATTTGAATAACCTAAACAAGATAGGGGGAAAGTTGAAATATAAACAGAACCATCCAACTTGTCTAATTTTTTTGTATGTGAAAATGGTTTCTAATAAGGATTTCTGTGTAGGATAAATGAACTATGGGAAAAGAAATCTTTCCAGAACAGCAACTTACCTGATCCAAAGAAATAGTGTGGTCTTTCTCACCAAAAATGAAAAATGTTGGATTTAGTAAACTGTATCTTTCTTCAGAGTCTCTAACTATTCCTATAATGTTTTGAGAAACAGTCAGTTAGTGAGGTTAGCATTCCTGCAAGATAAATGGCAAGTTTAAAAGAGAACATTTCTATTTAAGTTTACTCATTAAGTACATTACTTAGGACAGTGGCTATTTGGATGGAGAATAAGCATTTGGAAAGCATATTTCCCTGCTCTCCTAAAACAAGGAATTAATTTTTGTTGTTGTTTACAGTATCTTTGATATTTTTATACCAATATAGCCTACTGCTGAAATAACTATAATTAAAATCTACAACTCACCTTTGAGATGAGTATTTCTAGAAATTGTTACAAAGCAATAAGCAGAATTACAAACAATGCATAGTCATGTGAACCCAAGTAAGTTTTCATGCGTTCTACACTACCATAGAGGGACACCCCAGCGGTTAATTGAGGATTTTTCAGCATCAAGTGATGTACTGCCATTCCACCCCAGGAAAACCCAACGATACCAATCTTCTTTGCACCGCATTGTTCCTTTAGATACTTCAACACAACATCAGCTTCCCTAAGACATATAAAGAAAAGTAAACTAAGGAATCTATTGCAGAACCATTAGTTGACAATTTAAGAAGTAAATTAAAAAACATACATGGTATTTTTTCTGTCTGCACCTTCAACCATTTAAAACAGAGATTACTTTAAAAAGCACATTTCAGGCTAGAGAAGTGGCTTCTATTATTAAATGAGAGTTAACATCTCTGGTCCTAGTTTAAGGAAGTAGAGGTGTAGGCACTTAAATACTTACCTGAATTGTCACCTGCTCCTTTGTTTTCAAAATTAGTTAATTTTTATTTGAATCACTTTGTCTAGGACAGGACAACTAAAGACAAGACATATCTGCAAGTAGAACAACATCTTGCATTATGGACTGCAGGAATAGATAAGCTTCACTGTACTATCTCTACAGAGTTCGCCTATTTAGATAAAGATTTTTCCTATGTCATTCCTGTTATGAGTTAATATTAAAGCATCTTATCAAGCCCACATGCAAGAATGTTATGCTAAAGTAGCAATTACTCAAATTACATTGTCAGTAACCACAATGTTTAAAAAAATAATTTTTGCATGAGGCGCAATTAAAAAAAACATGAAAAATATTTTTATTGTAGGTGAGAACAAGTAGTTTTTTTAAAAATTGATGACTTCAGGGTTCTCAACAATTTTATCTTCTTCATTACCTACAAAGTTTTAAATTAATTTTAAACGCAGAATTCATAAACTATTACCTGTATTTTCAAACATTAAGTAGAGCTGTATGGTCATTCAGGTGTGGTTAGGCTGACCAAAAAAAAAACAGTATGAGAGTGACATGAAGAGGACATTGTGTCCTAGGCCTATGGCCATACTCTCTCAGAATATGTTTGTTTGAAAGAATACTAAAAATTCATGGGTACGTTGGGTTCCATGTTCTCTGAAAGAGCAATGGATCTGAACTGGAATGTTCACCTGCAAGTGATCCCTCAGAAGACAGAAAAGGCATGTCCTGACATCTTAATTTTTTTAATACATTACCCATATATCTGCTCCTCTTTGGAGCAGGATTTTTTTATTGTTGTTAGTAATTTTTCTTTTCAAAAACATTTGGTCACAGCTTCTGGAATTGTATGGTCAAAACTTTGCTGAGAGACACTGAAGATAGAGTGAGGCTGCTGAATGTCTGGAACAGGGCCAGAAGAATACTTGTGGCTTGCAGGATGGTGGCTGAGTAATGGGGTGTCATTGCCTCACTATCATCTGAAGTTTTGAGCTGTGGTGAAAGGTGCTGAAGAAACAGCAATGCCTCCCATAATTCAGGGAAGCCTTGTCACAGGCACTGTTAGGTTATACAGATAATGATCCCTCTATTTTACACTGGAAAAAATAGTAGAGTTGATCAGATGTATCTTAGGTTTTGGTTAGTCTAGCAAGTTTTTACATAGTGCTGCTCAGGACAATCTCATAATCAGGAAAGCAGAAAGCTAGATAGGCATGTGATAACTGGCAGATAACATCTGCAGTTGCAGAAGAATTTTCCTCTTTATCTTGAGGAATTGGGCACAGAACTAGAACTTGTGGGTGAGAGTGCTGGGTATTACATAGCTTGTGAAACACTGTGAGCCACTGTGGCCAGTATAACATAGTCAGAAAAGGCTCAGGAAAAGATAAGGACAATAAGCAGAGTGATGGGCATAGCAGATGATCCTTTTCAAATCCCAGCCAAGACAGGGATTTCTGTGGTGCCCAGGACCACAGAAGAGTCACTCAGAATAAGAAACTGTGGTTGTGCAGCCAGCTTGCCCTGCTGTGAGGTGCCACTTCTAACATTTCCTATAAATTCTTTTTGTTTGCTAGATGCTTTTTAAAGTTCAAGTATAAATATGTATCTTACTTGTCTACTTTCAAAGGATCATGATTTTTCATCCAGTCAGGAAAGTCAGGCCAGTGATCAGTGGATTTCCAGGGTTCTGTCCCCTTGAAGAAGTCTGGGCAGATGGTTCTGTGTGAGATATGGAATTAAGTCTATTTTCATTGAATCTGTGGATGTTTAAATGTCTCCTAATATCTTCTAGTCCAGAGTATATATCTACATGATCACTGTCTGAATCATGTTTTACTCATCCTATTCTGGTAATCAGCTAGCTAAAAAGTATATCTTTGTATGGAAAAAAAAAAAAAAAGACACAAATAAATGCTCATTGTTTCCTTAGACACAATTCAAAAATAAAGGGATTAAACAAACCTCCTGATTCTATACAAACACATATATATAACACCACTTTGCTGTTACAAGCTAAAGCAAATGTTCAAAATGTTTGGTCCTGAGAAGCTCATACAACTTAAAATAGATACCACTGTTTCTCTTTGGATCACTACCACTGCTTCATAAGTACAAACACAGGCACTTCAAGACTTTTTGTGCCTTTGTGATCAGGTAGCCATTTTTCCTGGGTCAGTTGTAATAGCTTTGGTGGCTCCATGGAAATATTTTGCCTATTTTCTTTTTTATTTGCTCACACTGAAATGGTATGGTTGTCTTCTGTGTATTGGAAACGTCATATGCCATGCCCAGCTTCGGGCCTGGCGATTTATCAGTGCATTTAAGGGGAAGATAGGAAAGAAAGTTGCTTACATGTAACCATGACTTGCTATCAAATCGACTATGTATCTAATATCTGGGAACCTCCATCCAAATACATCATGAACCACAATCACAGCTTTGTCCGTGGAAAAAGATGGTCTACAAACATATGCCTTAAGGTACTCGATTTGTACTTCATGTCCAAGGCACCCATAGTGAGACCTTTCTCCAGTATTATATAGAAAAGGATCGGCCATTTGAAAACCTAAAAAAAAAAAAAAAAAAAAAGAAGAAAAATGATAGCAAGAATGTAAAAATAATTTGCTGACAGAAATTATTCAAGGCAAAAAAGCAAATACGGCCTTCTGAAAGTAATTCAATAACTTCTGTGAATAACATTGGCATCCTTGTATGAAAATAGAAAGTAGAAAAAAGCAAAAGTAATGTTCCAGTGCAGAATGCCTCTTCTTCTATTATGTTATTAAGCTGAGAATAAAGAGAAATTACCAAGTTCAAAGTTATCAAATTACAAACAACCTGCGCATACAGGTCTTGACACTCATGTCACATTTGTTTTGCTGCCCTGTGGCTGTGTCAGCACTATGGTGTGAAGAACTATGGCTTCCAATGTCACTCTCTGCAGAGGCGTGGGGCCATCATGTGTGTTTTCCTGGGCAATCCTGTGCTGCTTTCTCTGAACTACTTGCAAGGACCACAGCACTCAACTGCTGCATTGAAGTGTAGTGTTCAGTGCTTCTCTTGGTGCTGGTGCCTGGTAGCTCATCTGTGCTTTCTCTAGCAGCATCACTGCTCTTCTGAGAGCAGAAGCACTGGGCGCAGTTAGTGAAGAACTGCAGTATGGATTTGTGAACGAGATTCCAGTGCCATGTGCCCCTATGCCCTTGAAAGGGACTGCAAGAAAACAAGCTTATGTGCAAGCCTCATTCAGAATATTTGAGAGTATATGGTTTTATCCCTTCTCCAAAAGTAGCAATTAGAGACAATGAGCCAGTAGATGTGCTAGACAGATTAAAGTCAAAAGTTGTTCTGACTCTCTGTGTCAGGAGCTTGGAATGAACTCTGTGCAAAAAGTAGATTGTGATCCTGTAATTAAAAGTGGTGTTACAATGCATCTATACAAGGAATCCAATTAAATCTGCAGGGGCAATGATACTAGCAGCATTTCCTAGTCATGTACTGACTTTGAAACTGTCCTTGGGCGTGCAGTACACAGGCACATACACTATGACTGTCTCCACTTCATAATTTCTACATCAACCTATTATTTTAGTTTGCGTTGTAACATGTACTTCATAAAACTATCTAATCTTCATGGAAGAGCAGGAAATTCCCATAAACATACATGCCTTCCATTAACTAGAGCAGCAGAGGGCTACATTTCACAGAGTAATGGAAAATTTTGCTTAGGCAATACGGACACATTTGGAACCATGGTACGGACAGACTGAAGAACAGAGAGTTGATGCCACAGAGATTTACCACTTGCTTATTCCCTACACAACTCTTTCCAATTTGCATTATTCACTCTGGCCCAATAAAATAATCTATATTTTATATGCATTTAAACTGTTTTATACCAAAGATAACCGACCTTCCCAGTGCAGAGACACTGTTCTTCCCCATCCTCTCCCAACCCCAGGGCTGCTGTCACCAGATCTGGCAGGTTCAGCACTGAGTTTGAGCAAATACACTTAATTACAACCATAACCCTGGCTGATGGTGCTGTAGACATACAGGAACTGGGCAGACATGTCTTTACTGCTCTAATCATTCATTTATCATTCAGATAAATCCATGAGATGGATGATCTCTCATCATCAGTAATCCTCTGTGCTGATAACTGAGAACTGATTACAGGCGTTAATTTTCATCCCACCTTTCTCAACATCTGTTAGCCTTGGTTATAGGAAGTATGAAGTAGCCTGATCTTCAGGATTAAGACCTCCGTTGTTTTGGCATTATATGAAAGTGGAAGATGTTACCCACACAGGAGATTATCTTCTAGTTTAAGCCCCCCATAATTCTTGAAATGCCTGAAAATGCTTGAGAGAGGTCTGTTCATAGTGAAGTGCTTCCTATCTCTTTTTTAAAACCTAAGATGAATGAGCTTGTTGAAGTATAGGAGTCTGCCTGGAGAAACCACAGGCACTCCCAAAGATGGCTAACACTGCTGCCTTCTGAGATGGCAGCCACAGTCTTACTGCGGTATTTTGTTCAGAAGGGCACAACCTATGGTGTCCCCTTCAAGGAAGTGTTGTTTGGGAGGCACTAAGCTATGCAATAGTTGTGAACCAGCCTACTCCCTATCTATTGGTTGCTTCCCAGAAACCATTTCTTTGGCCTGTGCTGACTGAGGCCCGGCCAGCTGGCTCCTTTCCAGGCACCAGGCAGCGGAGAACGTTAGTAAATAGTCAGCCACACCTGAACTGCTCAGGAGTTTGATGGGATCCTGTTCAGTCAGAAGTTTATTTGCTCCCTCCTGCTTTGTCCCACGCAATGTGGTGTGGCAAAGCAACACGCCAGGATATTTCCTACTTTTCTAGTCTCACCTCATTCCCTCTTCCCACCAATTTCAGCCATTACACTTTTCCTTTTCCTGCTTTCCCCATGGCACAGTTCCAAGCAGGCAGCATCTCGCCCTTATGTCCCTCTCTCCATCACTGTGCTGCAGCACAGAGGAGATGCAAGATCTGCTGGGAAGAGGGGGAAAAGTTACTGCTGCTAATAGGAAAAACCACAGATATTAAGTCTTGTGTCATCCTACTGCTCCTTGAGAGAAAGCCTTCTTAGAGCTTCTCCTTCTCTCCAGTGGTCCTGCTCTCTCTTGGTGTCTTGATATTATTCAGCTTTTTTGCAAGTAACATAAAAAATGAGGAGAGTTATTTACACAACACAAAGATGGGCTCCACCAAAGGTGGTAGGACAGACCCGAACTACTGCATTTCTAGGAGTAACAAATCACATAGTTATATTCTGCTGAGTCTTAGTTTTCATCAGGAAAAAACAAATCTATACCTGGAAAGTGAGGTTAAAAATATCTTTAAAAACAATCAGGTTAAACAGAGGCGAAGATCCTGGTAAGGACAATCTCCACTTCTCAGAAAGTGAGTATGAGCACGTGATCTCAAAGTGCTGTGCTGTTTGGCAGGACCTTGGACTACTGATGCCAAGATGTGACATCTCTGCCCTTTTCCCGGGTCAAGTGATAACATTTTAAGCTACATCAGCATTTCATTTAAATGTTAAGGGCTCAGTGGACCAAACAAGAAAAAGAATGGAAATTCATTACCATTAAGAGTGAAAAAATTATTATGGTCCTTTAATGTGAACATGCTACTTGATGAACATAAATTATCAGTGTCCTCAGAACTATTGCTGTACCACAGCTTGTAGCAAAGACTCAAAATGAAATTAGTCTTTCCCAAATTTGATAGCCTTTATCTTCACCTTATCTGCCCCTTGATACTTGTCTTTGTGCAATTTTTTACTGAAACCAAATTATAGCCTCTCTTTAAATGAGTAGGTTTTGTTGATTGTTTCATGGCTTTTCAAAGAGCTATATCTACTTGCTTAGCAATTTCAGATTTTCCCTCTCAGCACAGGTAGAAGTAGTTATCCTTTTCTGCTGTCAACTCAGTCTGCATGGACCAGTTTACCCTCACATACCTGGAGTGCAGGATCCTGTTTCAGCCCAGCTCAGTTCTTCTCAGTGAGACACTAGATTTCTCTAAACTGGAAAAGAAGAAAAACAGTTCTTGTTGACAGTTTCACTCCTGGTGCTGCCCATCCAGTTCTCAGGTGCTCTTCACCTCTTCTGTAGATTTTGGGAAATGAGGAGGAGAGGCTTCACTCAAGTGTCATCCCGAACGGAAGGGGTGGGGACAGACCATGCAAAGAGGCATCTGCAGCAGGCGGCACATCAGTAGCCTTAACTCCACCTTTCATTTACTTATTATCTAGGGAGTTTAGAAGGAAAGATGCATCCAAACACTGTACTACGCTATGGTGAGTGTGATGCAGACATTTAAGACACTGTAGAGGCTTTAGTCTTCAGTATTTATAACTGAGACATTCAGAATCAGTGATGTGTTTGCTGATGCATTTTCTTGAAGAATATTCATATACTTTCTTGGCTATAATAAATGTCATAAATGAAATTTGAGGCGAATTGAGATGAATCTGTCCTGGCAAACTTGAAGCTTAAAAATGTACTTAGTCTCAGTAGCACACAAGTTAAACATATTACAACCACACCCATAAGTATTCTCAACAAGTTGAAAAGTGTTCCAGGTTATTTGTGATTAGACTTGCATTTGACAAGCGAGAAAGACTTGAGTCTGTGGTGGCTCATTGAAATTTTCCATTCCTATTTCCACAATGGTACTGTATGCACAGAACACTAACTTAGCCCTCGGTCTGACATACACTCATTTTCTCTGTGTATACCCATGGTCTGGGTGTGTGTGCTGGAGGATGGGGGGATATGCAAACAAGAGAGACAAAAGAGCTACAGAAAATTATCATGTAATTTCAAGACAAAGATCAGTAAAGAAATTTTTATTCTTGGTATGACAAACAAGTTCCCCAGTCACCCAGAAGATGCTCAGGAGTACTCTGTGGCATAGGGACCATAATCTGAGGCCTACATTAAACAGCTGATGGACTCAGTTCACTAAACTTCAGGCATTTACAATGACGATGTCTTCATGTCAGCAAGGTGTCTACACTCTCACAGTGTCATCAATATTTGGAGTATGATTCACACTCCATGGGTGTCTTTTTTTGAATGAAAATAGGTAGTCCCCTAGATGACCCAACTAGTGCAGTAAGATTGCTGTGCTGAGTGCATAACAACCCAGGCACAATGAGTCCTCTGTGCTTTGGGAACTGCACACTACTCAAAATTAAGTTTTGGCATGACCAGAAAGAGGATGTTTGTCCTGTTACACCTGTCAGTAGATTTGCACATCAGGATTGTACAAGAAACCATTAAAAAGATTGCTTGTGTTGCAAGGGAGGGAGTGGGGAGACTTGACTGAAAAGATCCAGTTTGTACTTTGATATTAATGGCATCTTGCTTGACCTTGGGTAACCACACCCAGGTGGGTATCTTGTACTCAAATCCACAAGACTGAAGAATTGTCTTCCTACTTTGCCCCCTCTGAATGTGAATTCATCCAAGCTGCAGTTCCCTGGAACAGACTGGGCCAGCAGAAGCATATATCTGTTCTCACATGCATCTCATGACTGTAAACCCTGTCTTGGTGCCCAGCCTTGGGGGGTGGTTAGGGTAAAAGAATAGCAAAGGACTCACTCTGCTCTAATGCAAGCCTTTGCTAGCAGTGGTGTTTACGTTTGACCCACAAACACTCTATCATTCAGATCTCTCATACTTGATGAGACTGTCTTGTTCCCTGTAAGATACAATCACCTCTGTAATGGACTCAGGATTATGGAGATCATTGCATCCATGAACTTGCTACAGTCTCAAGAAACTTATGCATTTAATATTTTATGCCTGCTGTGGACATTTGTATTTTTAGGGTTAAAAAAAAAAAGTAAGAAGACACGTAAGAGTTGGAATGAGCACAATAGATTTACTTGTTCAAACACACAGCAGTGGAATTTCCCATTCACCTGAGACACACAGATGGTTTTTGGCTGGTTTGAGTTCTTTTGCTGCTTAAGGCTTGCACCAATACTGCTCCAACTGCTCCTCCTGGTTTTATAGAAACGGGCATCAAATAAAGCCCAAAAGCTAATCATCACAGCTATTGGCTGCAATTTTAGTTGTATGTCAATAAAAGAAACAAGATCATAGGGCATGCAAGCCTGCTTCCCTGAGGCAAAATAGAAAGGTATTCTCTCCCAGATGACTACTGATATCTAAAAACCCAGAAAAGCAGGTACTCTGGTGGCATCTAGTGCAGAAGTGAAACACTCAGATGGAGAAACCAATGAGCAGGCTTAAACATGCCCAATCTACAGTCAGCCCATACAGTATTTGGAGTGCGGCTGGCAACAACAGACTCACCGGAAAGTTGAAATCATAAATGTTGTATTTATGTTGTGAAAAAACCTGTTCAAAGCATCTCTGTTGAGTGACAGGATTGCAGCCTAGAAGCTGCAGACGAGGCAAGAGGAACAGCAGGGCTCCCCTCTCCTCTCACACAGTGCCAGCCAGCAACAGCAGCCTTGTAAAGGGGTTTCCACTGCCAAGGTACCTTGTGAGGAACTGGTGGGGAGGCTCCTGGGAAGGACCACAGCAGAGGCACAGTGGGATGGAGTCAAAATGCAGCTCTGCAGAGCCAGTTGTAATGCCACAGGGTACTCTGTACCCAACATCTGCCTTCCTGACAAGAGGAATCCTTTGGAATTTGGGTCTCTTCAAGAGGGGAGCATAGCTGTTCCTTCTTAAAAACTTCACTGAAAAGACAGCCTTACTAGTAAGCTTGAAATTTGGAGCTTGGTTTAATGCCTTTTTTTTTCTGTATGTTAACCTAATTCCTTTCCCTCCATCCAGTAAAATGGTTTATATCTAAAATTATTTACTGAGTCATCACTTGGGAGGAAAGAACTATATTTTAACACATCTGATTTAATACTACAGGTTTCTGTCTTGCGTGTCCAGTCAGTATTTGAATAAAGACCCTTGGAAATCCAGCCAGCTGTTCTTATTGCAAATCAAGGCTTGGCAGGAGGTTTACACGTACAGATATTTTCTTTATCATCAATGAGAACTAGTCTTACTTACAATTTTGTTCTTTACCATTCACCTAACATGGTACTCTAGAGTTGGCATCTGCCTTTGCTTGGAACATTACAAAAATTCTCCAAGGAATCCTCTGATTTGTTTAGCAGTGAGCCATATCCCCACTCTTTCCCATGCTTTCCCATGTGTCTAAGAAGAAAGGCTCCGAAGTCTGTCCTCTGTGGGAGTGAGTGACCTTATCTGCTTCATCTGGTGCATGGTTGGCAGGCATGACCATGTTCCCTGCACTGATCAGAGCACCCGCTGCTCCTCACAGGGCACCAGGACCAGGGTGATTGCTGCTTCTTCGCCATAAATCTTCACATCTCTCACCATGCTTCCACTCCCTTGATTTTATTTGCTGCTAAAAAATAATAGGCTCAATCTGTCATCATCTCTCCCTTTGGCCATCTCCCCATTATATCCACCCCTTCTTCCTCCTGTTCCACTCTGCTCCATTTATGTAACTTATTTGAAGACACTGGTTTCAATGGGTTTCTGGTTATCCCTTTTAATGTTCCAGGGTTTCTCTGCGGTAAGCTAGGATCAGCTGTCAGAGCATACAAGTACTTACCTGCCTAAAATCATTAATACAACTTTAACCACAGGCACAGAAGGATGATCTGCAAACTATGAGTATCTTGCTAGTTCGCAATGTAGAACTGGTTGACCCAACAGCTTCTGGGTTTCTTATGCCTGTCTTGGATTAATTTTTACTTAAAAATAAATTGTGAATGTTTATTCTCAAATTTTCTCTTTTTCCTGAAAGAGTTTGTGGGATTTCAGACGGTGTGCTTTGTGAACTTTATAGAAATTGGGTGGAGTACTTTAATTATGCCAAGCAATAACAGGAAATCTATTCTAATGTTGTGGGTGACATGCAAAAAGGGATATTAAAATTACTTACCATTGACCAGGTGTTTCTAGGTTATTCAGTAGCTCTCTTTATTAACTTTAATTAAGGAGTTAAGTTCCTTAACTTTATTAAGAAACACTTTCAGTGGAATTTCAGTACAAGGCAAATTATTCCAAATAATAATGAATATTAATAACAGTATATGGGGGAAATACTACACTCTGGAACAATGGCTCAGAAACAGGTGCCCCAGATCAAAGGTTATACCTGTTTTTCACTGAACTCTACAAATGCATATATGACCAAGACAATACAATTAAGAGTACATGGGTAATTATGTGGAATAAGGGTTGATCTCCTCTAAAAAACGAAACAGCTATTTTGTACATGATTTAAGAATATGTATTGTCTTTTTCTTACCAAATATTTTTCCTTCTCTTCTAAAACAACAAAAATTTGAAATCCAGTACTTACTAAAAAACACTTTTTTTTTAAATTGTTATCCACTACTCCACTCAGAGTATTACTTTCAATGATGAATTAATTCCATTTGTTTAGTCATTGAAACTGAATTTTGTAGGCAGAAATTTTCCCATAAAATGTTGATTTTAAAAGGTATATATTTGGTCAGTTTTTATTCCAGGGCATACGTCCTTTTACCTTTTTTTTCTTTTCTGTTCCTTTATTTGGTATATGTTGTCTCATACAAAACTCATCTAATGCTTATTTTGTTTCAGGAACATTCTGGGATTAATCAGCTGGAAGGGAGTGACTTTTTTCCTTGTAATTGAGGCCATATTTGCATGGACATGCAAATACTATTTCAGTCTTCAGTACAAATAAGCTGTCCTGGACAAAAAGCTGCACCTTGTGCCCACAGAATTTATCTTAATTTTCAGAAGAGGCAACTTTCATGTGTAGAAATATGGTTTCTCCTCTGTAAACTCCCAGTGTGCACTTGGACAAATTCATTTGATTTTCCAAGATATTCCAAGACATCCTTTCTAAAGCCAAGAGGACCCCAAAATTTCCACCTGCATATGATCCCCCACAGGTTATACATCTTTCAGATGAACCTTT